GTATAATTTACATTGTGCACATTTTAAATGATACATGGACCAATTTAATAAAAGATGCATGGTTGCATTAGCACAATGTTATTAATGTAAACCTAATGTAAAAGCCCTTTAAAGACAGGACATGTCTGAATCATTTTCAACTCACAAATTGAATGACCTTTCTGTACGGTTTATTAATCCATTCATCCAAAAGCTGAAACAAAGCACAGAGCAGCTCAAACGTGGTGTCGGATTCAAACCTGTGACGTAAGATGTTCACACAAACACCACATCACCGCAGCAAAGGTTCACACTGCAAATCTGAAGTTCGTTCATCATGGGTTTGTCTTCTCAAATCAAAGCACAGACATTCCAACTCACAACCTGAGTTTCATTTGATGAAAGGTCTGGAGAGTGTGACTGAACATATGAAGAAATGAAGACAGAGTTTAGAAGATGCTGCTGTGGTGAGATTCACGATCTACGTCAGCGAGGAAACAACTCAGAGAAGTTCTTTCCGTCGTCCTGCTGACCGAAGCCTGACTTTACCTTGATGAAGGCGGCGTATCTGTAGCTGAGACGTCGTACATTTGGATCCCAGCCCTCCAGCGCCCAATCACATTCCTTCTTCTTTGCATTGGTTGTCATGCTCAACTTGTGTGATTCCTTCTTGTTCTGATTTGTCGACTTCGCTTCCGTTCCAACAAAAATGTTCAGGTGTTGATCAGAATAATATCCACAGTGTTTCTTCTTCTCTGCAGAGGAACAGTTTAAAGCCCAGTGTGTGTGTGTGTGTGTGTGTGTGTGTGTGTGTGTGTGTGAGAGAGTTTTAACTCCTCACACACACTTCCTGTCCAGTGCGTTCTGTACAGTTTGGATGGAGGTCAGATGGAATGATGAGACAAACATCCACAAGAGAGGGGGTGACGGCTGATCTGTGTGTGTGTGTGCGTGTGTCTGTGTGTCTGTGTGTGTGTGTGTGTGTGTGTGTGTGTGTATGTGTTTGCTTGCTTTATTGGCTCAACCCATTTGGGCCTCCACAAAGGGGGGGACACTGTCAGAGCTGATTAGGCGATCAGAAAGGCTGACAAGTTCAACAACGCATTAACTGAGTATGAAAAAAGGCCAGTGCCGCTCCGCACGCGCACACACATACACACATACACACATACACACATACACACACACACACACACACACACACACACACACACACACACACACACACACTTCACAAATGAACCCAGCACATTGTCTGATTTAATAAATTTCACTGAACTGTTTGTGTTTCTGAAGTTTGACTACAAAGAGGATTCAGTGGAAACAACACAGTGTAATGAGCAGCTGATCCTTCATGAGTTAGAGTGTGTGTGTGTGTGTGTGTGTGTGTGTGTGTGTGTGTGTGTGTGTGTGTCTACCTGCTGTAGAATGACCATGGTTCTGGTTGTTGTCCTGATGGATGGACATCAGTCACCTGTTGACCCTGAGAATGTCACAGAGACGAGAACAGTTATTCTTCCGTTTAATTCAGATTCAGTGTCTGAGTCCGTCTTTAAATCGATTCTGTTTATTTACACGACACATTTCTTTAGTAGTTCACTTGGTTGTCGCACAAAGCAACAAGACGTAACATGTACTGTTGATATCGTTAACTGTTTGTCAGTGTACTTCACCTTTAGTGGAGAATACACACACACACACACACACACACACACACACACAACACACACACACACAGAGAGTGAGCACATGTGAAAACATGAAACTGGTAAAACAAAAACTTGAGACCGGACACATTCTGCACATCACCATTTTCAGAGAAATCTATTTTATGTTGCAAGTTAGAAGATTATTGTGTGAAGGGTTGTTCTGGATCACATAATATCCATTTAGGTAAATATCTATTCATGTGATTATGTTGTTTCCATTTTCTGACTTGAACGTTGGTTAGAAAGTCATTAGATTCGTTCTGCGTGTGTATAACAGTGCACTCTTGCATGTGTTATTCATTAAGGACAGATTTAGAGCATATAAGCTGTACACCCGCGGTAATTGCAGCTATCTTTGTGTGTGTGTGTGTGTGTGTGTGTGTATTAGTCCTTGTGAATTATTCATCCTTCTTTGATGACGGTTACTTTGATCCTTTGACTTTTTGTCACCTGGCAGCTGTGACAGCTCGACCACATCTGAGGTTTTGTTCTGTTTGAAAAGTTACACCTGAACAACGAGAAGGTTTAAGGTGAAAATCCTCCCTCTCTGTACTGTGATCTGACATCTCCCACAATGCATCAGGAGGATTTCTTTGGTGCATTTACATGGAGAGTTTAGAAACTGTTATCTCCAACCAAGAAGGACGTTATGTTCTCACCTTTGTTAAGAGTCTAACATCAGCTTCCTGTGAGTGTTAGCTCCGACCACCAGCTCTAACTCTCCATCCACGCCACACCGGCTCAGTCTGCCTCACCCATTCTTCCTCACCCCCCACACTACCCGCTACGTAGCAACAAGGCCTCCCACAGCTCTTGTTCCCTCAGTCCTCTGACGATCCAAGCTGAATTAGAGGTTGTAGTTACTCTTTCAAAATTAAATCAACATTAGTGGAACTTCTCCCTCAAACGCTGCTGAAAGCCTCTTTCCCATCGTCACAGAGGAGCGAGGGACCAAACCAACGAGAGACGTACGAGCTCACCAAGATTTACCGGGAAGGAAATGTCATAAAAAAGTCTGATGGTGAAAAATGTAAAGAATTATCATCACATGCCGACAAATATGTACACAATGAAACAGAAGAATGGAAATACAATAGCCCTCAGACTCAGACTCACACACCCACACACACACACACACACACTATAAATATTTCAGCATCTAATTAACCCAGCAGAGGTGGACAAAGGTTGTGTGCAGCCACTGCCGGTGTACATGTGTGTGTGTGTGTGTGCGTGTTCTCTAAACATATCAGATTTAAACCTTTGTAGATAAAGACACATTAGCGACACAGTGAAAGTTAAACAGAGACAGAACATTAATGGAGAAAGAAGTGAAAAGTGAGAAAAGAGAGACGGGCGGTCGGAAGGAAGAACAGAAGAAGTGAAGATGTCAAACTTTGTGTTTTCAGCTCGAGTCGATGCCTCTAATGGGCCAATTCTTTCAGTTTGAATTAACCAGTGTTGCCGAGTTCTCAGCTGATTGTGTTGACATGACCTCAGATACACCCAGTTCAGAAAATGATACCGTGATGTGTGCATGAAGTGGAGATAAGAGTATAAAAGCTGTGTGAACACAGGGAGGGACCAGGAGTCGAACCTGCTGCACAGTCACAACAGAAGTTAAAGTTAAACCAGCAGCTTCATTACAGTTCGTGTGATGGTTCAGTGACGGTCTCCTGACATTATCTGGAGGGGCCGTATGTGAGGACGCAAATGTTCGAGACAGTTGCTGAGGACTTTCTCTGGAGTTTTCTCCTAAAAAGTAAAAACTCTGGATAATATCCACGGGAGATTCTCTGGAGGATTCAACAAGGATGAGTGGGAGCGTTAACGACGTTTCTAACGCATGACTGATGCAAAACTTAAAAAAACAAAGAATACAAACTCGTCCGGATGAAAAAGAGGAGTCGCACTTGTAGAAGATTTGGAAAGATGATGAGATTTCAGAGCTTTAGGTGATAAGAGCCGACGCTGGTGTTGAATCTGTTCAGTTCATGATCTCTGCAGTGGAATGTATCTCATGTCCTGCCTCCTGCATGATGCAGCACCCGTTACTCGTTTCCAGAGTTCATGTCTAAAAACAGCTTGATAACTTTATTTATCAGAATCATAGATCAGCTCAAAAGACTGAGAAGTTATTAAGAGCTTTTAGTTCAGGAAGCTGGGGATCATGGGTAATATCCAGCCACACATAGACTCAAACACAGCTGCACCTTAGAATGTAATAATTTATAATGTGGTGACTTGCTTTTTGTCCCCAGAAGTAAGACATGTCCCACTTATATGAGTGTGTAAACAGATTTAGCTGCTCACACACACACACACACACACAGTAAGGAGATTATGCAGAAAGCCAACATGCCTCTTTAAGCCTGACCGACTGTTTGTCCTCACCCTTTTGCATGATCTGAACTCTTCTTCTGCTTCTTTCTCTCTTCTGTCCTCCCTTCGTTTCAGGTGCGGGTCTCCGCACAGACGTCCTGCCTGTTGGATGGAGGGATGAAGAACAGGGGAACAGAACGGAGGACGAGATGGTGCAGTCTTTCTTCAGGAGTAGCAGGAAAACCTGTTTGTCTCTCCTCTGTCACTGTCACTCTCTCTTCTCCTCTCTTGGCAGATTTGTCTACTTCTTCCTGAGTTCCTCTCCTTACTTCCAGACTCCTCCTCTGTTCTTTACTCTCTGACTCTCTTTTCTCTCTTTCATATGAAGGTATACAGAGTTTTAAGCAGTGAATAACTCCCTCCTCCTCCTCCGCTCATCCCTCCCTCTTTCTTGTTGGTATTAACAGTGACACAGCAAGCTGCTCATTCACTGCTGCCACTGAACCCTGTTACACAGAGAGGGGGGGGGGGTGATGAGACACAGCACAGGGGAGGTTGTAATCAGACACACACACACACACACACACACACACACACACACACACACACACAGACACACAATTTCACGAGTTAATTGCAAAATGAATCTTGTGCAATTACTTTAAACAACTCAAAACTGCATCCAGATATTTCCTATAACACTATAAGAATATAATTATGTTTTTTAAATACTGCACACTATGATTATTTATAGTAGATATTATGAATGTTATGGGGATATGATAGATGAGCACTGTTGCACATCAGGATGATGCGGCAGCAACCGTACTCCGTGAAGGTGAGAGCTGACGCTTTAATTCAGAAAAACAGCTTCCTCTTTTTTTCCCCATGAAAACTTTCTCAGGATTTCCAAGATAATGACCTCATGAATTTAGAAAAACAGCCTCTTTTTGTTTTTTGTTTTTTTTTAATGAAAACTTATCTTGCAATTTGAATATTTCTTACTTATTAATTAACAAGTGAATACAATATGCTTCGGAACACTGTTAGATCTGCTTGCATGGCCTTAGTGTTGTCTGGGGCAATGGTGGAGAGAGAAATGTAAAGGATCCACAAACAGCAGAGCTCAAACAGCGGAGCCGTTCTATCGTAGTTCCCTTTGTCACTATCGTTTTTGTTTGGTGCAGTTTGGACTCTGTTCAGTTTGTACCATCTCATGTTCTCTTGTCATTGTCTTGCTCGTTTAGACTTCGACTTGTTCGGTTTCTTCAGCAGGTATCTGAAAACCTTGATTTCGTCATTGAAAGAAACTCCTTTCTTCCGAGTAACAATCTTATTTTTGGCCACTTGGTCAACATCTCTTGCTTCCACGTTGCTCAGTGTGGATTTTAATTTCTCCTGCTCTTCTGGAGTCCTCTCAGGGTCTTTGTTCTTCCGTCTCTCTGAGTGGCTGTCGTTCACAGTGCGAGGTTTCTTCAGTATTCCCTTTATTTTTTTCACCTCCTGATCCATTGGTTTGACGTTCAGTGCCGGTCCTTGCAGCAGTTGTTCTGTACTTGATGCTTTATCTCTATCAGCGTCCGTTGATGTGGACCATATCTTTTTCAGCGTCACTGCCGATGACAGTTTATTTGCTGCATCCTGGACGTTTTGCAACTTGAGTTTTCTATCGGCCTCTTTTAGTTTCCTTTTCATTTCCCGTTTTTTTTCTTTTTCCCGCATGTCTTTTACTTTCTCTATCATTTTTCTCTTCTGCGACTCGAGCTTTTTCTTCATCATTGAAATCTCGATCGTATGTTTTTTCGCCTGCTCATTCAGTACGCTACATGCTTTCTTAGCTTGCTTAGCCAACCTCTCGTGGAATTTTGCTTTTGAGGCTAAAATTAACTCTTGTTTCTCTTTATTCGCTTTTCTCTCAAACTCAGCTAACTGCTGTTTGAGATTCGTCACAATGGCGCTCAGTTTTTCTGCCTTGAACTCGCTGGCACATTTGTCCAGGATAAGATTTGCGATCACTCTCTGGCTACGTCGAACAGTTTCCAGGAGCACCTGCTGCCTCGTTTTGCCAGTTTTCACCTCTTGCTGTAAAATCTGGGTCTCAGTCTTGAGAGCCTCTATTTTCTTGATAAGCTGTTTCTGTTTCAAGATATTGGAATCCTCTTGTTTGCCGCTCTGTGTTTGGTGGAGGTTACTTTTGTTCATTTTTGGGGGGGGACAATTTGCCATTGCAGATTAACCCATACACTGGAAGATCACAGTGTTTCCCAATGAATGAATGAACGAAGGCAGAATGAAATAATGACCACGAAACCGGACGCGGCAAACATCAAAGTGTTTCACTGTATTCCCTTTTCTTGTCTCCCTACTCGGCCCTTTGAAGTTCTACAATTCTATACTATTGTTTTATATCAAAGTCTTGTGAGAGCAACACGTTCCCTTCATTAAAGGATTCCACACACACACACACACACACACACACACACACACACACACACACACACACACACACA